TGAAACTGCTTTAGATTGAAATATATACTGTAAGTACTGAGCTCAACGGAGGTAATCGATTATATTCTCGTGAGGGTAATAGCAGGGTTGAAGGTTTGCTTCTATCTAAAGACAAATTGTGCACTCACCTGCAACAGTCGTTGCCATATGCGAGGCGAATCGGTCCTTAGCTGCAAAGTGTGCCACTTTCATAGCCCAAAAAAAGCACGGCAACGAGGCGTAGTATAGTGAGACTTTGATGCCGTCTTCACACTCCGCCCGCCTTATCCTCAACATTCAGCGCTTCCGTCGATACCACGGTATAGCAGCGAAACACGCTCTCAGTGGTAGAAAACAACCTATAGCTAAAGGCAACGTGCTTCGTTATGGTTAGGCGCTTGGCTAGCCGAGCTGTAGCGCTAGTCAAGTTTGGCTAGCTGAGCTGTATGGAGATGGCATCCGAGCATCATTACCCTCCAGCCTCGTTTCCGTGCACTTTGTCACCCTGCATGAAGTAAAGATTGATGTTGCGCGCGTCACCCTGCACGTAAAGATTGATGTTGCGCGCCAACAGGGAACTGCCCTCTTTTTAGCTCTATATGTAACGCGGCGTTATCTCTGTGACTCTGGACTTGAAGAATTTAGTTGGTTTCAGGTATAAATTACACAGGAATGTACGCTAACCCTCTGGTTGCTTGGGCGTGTACATTTAATTGTGAAGGGTTGACACATGTCGGTCACCTACTTGTCTACTGGCTCAGTCCTCTAATAGGATGGTGAGTTCGAACTTATTAAGCTATGCGAACTTCGTTACCCACTCCTTTGTGATTTTCTAAAACGGTAGTAAGAAATGGCTTTCAGGTATTTGGCTGAGTTGGCGTTTGAGAATGACGTTGAAGACCAGGACAAGTGTGAAAAGAAGGACTAAGCAGAACAGAACTGAAACACAGCACATGACATGCCATTGCCGTGTGTGTAGATGGCAGGCCAAGGTTGCCGTTAGGAAATACAGGAAGATCTCCTTTGCTTATAGGAAGCATAGTATTGAGTAGTTTTGTCAACCTAGGGAAAAGAGAGCGTGTTTGATTGTGCCTTACAACGTAATTGTGTGAACTGTGATAAATGTCTTTTTTCTCAGTTTTGTTTAATTTTAAAGACAGCACCCGCGATAAAAGTGTCAATGGTAATTGCAGAGCACAGGTCAGCAAAAAGTACATGCAGTTCCGATTAATGCCCGCCGTCCCAACAAAGAACAACTGAGCGGCTCTCCGTCAGAGGGCAGCTAGCAAGTGGGGCGGTCCAACTGGGCGGGCGTTAGAACTAGAACTTTGAGCGGCTGTAGCTCGCTCCTCGCTCACTGTGGAGTCGCGAGAGTGGGACAGTATCTAGCTTGGGGGCTGAACTACCTGCACAAGGAAGGACGACCATGTACTACTTGAGCGCGGGGGCTGTTCACAGCGAGAGAAAGCTCGTCTAGCCTTAAGTCATAGCACTGCGGTTGAAGACAATGCCTGCGATCAACTGCTACGGGTAGTATGTGCTCATTGTCAGTCGTGAACCAATAGCCTGTAACTCCCCAGCAAAGAAAGAAGCGAGAAAAACTCCGGGAATCCTCCGAACAAAGTCCCCCTCCCCTCCCTAGCAGTGGGGCCGACGCCTTGGACGAGTTTATCGGACGTCGGACAAGCCCAATCAGCAGGATTCGACGTGCAACCAATTCCGGCAAGAGCACAGGAAATCGCCCTACGACGCTCCAGGCAACGCTATGTACACCTGCAATTCCGCTTGTAAGCCGTTGTCTTGCAGAGTGAAAGTAATCACGGTTGCAATACTCACGCATCTTTAGCTTCTTTATATCACTGTTTCGAGAAAGTGGTACATTCTCTGCGAATGCGGGATGCCAAATGCACGGAGGCATTTCGCGGACAAC